ACTTAATACTGTTTATTGTAATCACTGAACATTTCTACGTAACATATGTTAATTTGAAAATTTTCGGCTCTACGATTTTCCTTTTATCGCGAGTTAAATGAAAAAAGTACACGATTTTTTACGGTACCGGCAACTTTGTTAACTTTGCAAATTTGTTTTCTCGAAAACTATCGTACGAAAAAATTTGAATTTTGAACAGGTGGTAGCCTGGTGTGTTCTTAATGGGTGGCATATTTTATTTTTTCGATATTCCGCACATTTTCGCGGAAAATCGCGGTTTAGTAAGACGCCGTTATGGCGAAAACGGTTGGGTGGATTTCCTCGCTGATTTGACCAAAATATGTCAAATAATGTCAGTTATTGGATTCCCTTGTCAGTTTTTCAAAATTAGAGTTCCCTAATTTTTTAAGAGCGATTTAATGGAATGATAAATTAAAGAGAAACAGACATAAGCTCTGCGGGGTGACGGGGTTTCCGTCCAATCGGAACAGATGGTGCGTCCCAGACAGGACGTCGCGCCTTATTTCTTTATGTAGGTAAGATAAAGGCGCGACGTACTGTCTGGGACAAACCATCTGTTCCGATTGGACGGAACCCTTCTCTCCCCGCATAGCTTATTTCTGTTTCTCTTTAATTTGTAATTCCATTAAATCGCTCTTAAAATATTAGGGAGTCCTAATTTTGAAAATCTCATAACGGAATCCGACAATCGACATTATTTGACATATTTTGGTAAAAACCGCGTTGAAATCCGCCAGGTGGTTTTCGAAATAACCGCATCCTACTAATCCGCTATTTTCCGCGAAACTATATGGAATATCGAAAAAATAAAATATGCCCCACATTAAGAACACATCGATTTACCACCAATTCAAATTTGAATTTTTTTCGTTAAATAGTTTTGGAGAAAAAAAATCGCAAAGTAGACAAGGTTGCTGGCACTTTCAAAAATCGGGTACTTTTTTCACTTAACTCGTGATAAAAGAAAAATCGCGGACCCGAAAATTTCCAAATTAACATATGATACGCAGAAATGTTCACTGATTACAGTAAACTTTACCCCAATTTGTTCCATCGAGAGCGGTTACGAAGATATTGATCTCTAAAGTGAGGGGCCTTGACTTTTTGCACGGATAGTAGTGACAGTGCAAGTGTAAAACTAGAACTAACACTATACCTAGAACTAGAATCATTCGGGTTTAGCCGTCTTTAGAGACGTGCGGCTAAACCCAAATGATTCTAGTTCTAGTGTTAGTTCTAGTGACAATACAAGTGTAAAAGTAGAACTAACACTATGCCTAGAACTAGAACCATTCGGGTTTAGCCGTTTTGAGAGTTGTGCGAAAATCCAAATGATTTTAGTTCTAGGTATAGTGTTAGTGCTAGTGATCGTGTAAAACTAGAGCTAACACTAGACCTAGAGTTAAAAAAATTCAAGTTCTAGGTTAAGTGTTAGTTCTAATTTTAATTATTATACAGCGCTAGATTGTTGTATATTTTTATTAAACTAAAAGTACAACTAACACTAGACCAATAACTAGAATTATTCAGGTTTAGCCGCACGTCTCTCAAAACGGCTAAACCCGAATGCTTCTAGAAGTAAGTCTAGTGTTACTTTTAGTTTTAATTCAATATGTTTAATTAATTTTGTTCAAATTGAAATAAAAATATATACCATGTAAAGGTCCAATAATAACCATAACCAACACCATAATTACACAAATTCTCTTCTTTCGACTCTTACTCCCAGTTTTAAAAGCGACCTTAAACGTTTCCGAAATATGTTTTAAATCGAAAAAGTCTGCAAAAAAATTTTTTTTCTTCCCATTTTCAACTTTAATCACATCCCGATTTAATTCATTCTTTTCCAAATTATCAACTTGATTCTCATCGACTTTAATTTCTTTCAATCTAAAACCACCGTACAATAACCCGATCGTATAAATTCCCGCTGCCAAAAAGAAAACTCCATAAAACCCAATTTGTCGATATAAAAATCCGCTTAGCGCCGTTCCAATCGTGAAACAAGCGTTTGAAAAAAGACTTACAGCGCCGATTCTTAACGTTCTCATTTCTTTCGTCGAAACCGAACTGATGTAACTAAAAACGCCCATGTACATACAAAACCATCCGCCTGTTAATGATGGAGGAACCGATTCTGATAGGGCGCAATATTCCATGGAGAGTTGGTAAAAAAAGTAGGTGCAAATTAAGAATCCTATGCAAGAAATCAATTCTCCAACTACCGGTAAGATTATGCAAGGTTTTCGCCGGTTGTTTCGATCACTCCATGAACCAATAAACATCAATAAAATCGATGGTAATAAACTTTGAATGATATTTTTCCAGGCGTTCATTGAAGCAACTAATTTTTGTACGGTTTGTTCGTGGGTTACATCATATCCAGATGAATTTCTTGATGTTAAAGCATCACAAATTGTGTCGTTATAATGTAAATTAACTCTACAAGCTTTCTCTAAGTTCAAATTTTGTATAGTTAAACTTGCCATCACACTTGGTAAAATATAACATACCATAATTGGTTCTACCGTTATATTGGTAAAAATTAATCTCACTTTTTCAAATACACTCAATTTATTTTCTTCATCACCATCTTTTTCTTGATTGGGTTGCATCCCTTCACCAACGGCTACTGATAATTGATGAATATCGGCTTCGATACTTTTTGATCTTTCAAGAGCCATTACGATTAATTTTATTAAAGCCTTCGGAAGTTCTTCACATCTAAGATTATTTCTAGCCTGAAATTGTTAGATTTTAACTTGAACGATGGTAATTAATTAAATGGAGATCTTTTTTTGCGGACTTAATACTTATTTAATATTTAATTATCAGCATTATTTGCATCTGGATTAAAAGTATTTGCTTATCTTGAAATAGGAGTGTTTTTGTGAATATTTTATTGCACTGAATTTTTATTTTTCAAATAAAAAGGTGAACTGCTTTGTAATGTAGACATAAAAAATGCAAAAATAAGCTCAAAATTGAAAAACAAAATTGATTTAATGTTTTTTGTACTAACCTAAATAATTAATAAGATACGATGAAAACATCCTTGATATCACTAACTGAACTAAATGTATTTGTGTACTTATAAGACAGATGAATTTTCTCAAAAAAAAATTAAAAGAACCTCTTTGCTCTATCTTAAGTAAACAAAGTGTTAAGAATAACCGATTGGTGCTAGATAAAGAAACAATACCCCACATCATTACTACATAAATGAGGCACTTTTAAGACTATAATTATCTGGATTGTAAATATTTTCTTTAGAATTAACTATAATCCGATTGCATTGTGTTGAACACAATAAATAATTTTTTAATGTTTTAATTTATTCTAACAAAAATAATCGTAATTTTTTCATTTTGAAGTAACCTGTCACTAATTAATAGCTATCAAAGTCAAAAAATACGTTCGATTTTCCGATTTCTTATGAAAATCTAATTTTTCTTCTAATTTCTAATTTTACTTACCATCTCTGATGATTTTGAAGTCGATTTGTAAATCATATTCTTAATGTTTATTTTTATTGGAAGCGTAATTCGAACTTTATAATTTTTTTCGTCTTCTTTAAAATTGTTTTGTTACATTTATGACACAATTCAGTTTCAATTATTAGCGCAAATAATTAATGTAAAAATTATTTTTACGTTTGCAGGGCTGCCTCGGCATTTGATAATACATTGGTATTGTATAAAATCCTTTACTTACTACTTTGTAATATTTGAACTACTGCCTTGATAGCGAAATTGCCTCGCATTATAATATTTCATTATTACTGAAAAGAAATCTTTAATTATTGCCTAAATTATAAATTTTGCCAAGAAAAGCAACGAAGGAACATAAATGATTTATAGTTATATGGTATAGGGCATATTTTGGAAAACAATTTGGATAACAAGACAACCACACAAAGTTTGTAAAATTCGCGTGGAGTCACTTCGAAAAGGGCTTCCGTTTGGAAAATCGGTGACATGGACAGAGCGAAAAAACCACCTTGATGATTGCTACTTTTGTGCTGTGAATATAAAAGGTATAAACCGATACAAAAAGCGCTGGTAAAAGATTTGCCAATACAAGTATTTACTTCCTTATTAGAGGATTGCTATGATGATGTTGAAATGTTAAATAGTCAGAGTAAAAACAATAGCAAACGTGATTTCGAATAATGCAATCCTACGCTTTCAAGGTTTGTTTTCAGGTATCACTAACATGTTATTGAACTAGAGAGCGCGGCATTCTTCCATATTTTAACGACCAAAAAGAGTATATCAACTAGAAAACTAACAACTTTTTATAGATAGCTCAAAAAGAGTTTGCAATGTGTGTTACTGCATAACGGAAATAAATTAGCTTCAATCCCGATAGCTCATTCAGCTACTTTTAAGGAAGAATATATTAAACTTGTTTTAGAAAAACTTCATTTCATCATCATCAGTGATCAGTGTGTGTAGATTTAAAAATGTTTTCTTTCTCTATGGAACAGTCGTGCGTAAAGTGAACGCTGGAGCAGGAAAGAGTAGCCATACAGAATGAACATGTAGGACTGTAGGAAATCATTCTTCTGCCACTACATATAAAACTTGGGCTAATAAAACAATTTGTTAAAGGTTTAGATAGGAATGGTGATTGCTTCAAATATATTTGTCATTTATTTCATGGTGTCATGGGCCGCAAATCCGTACTCTTATAAACAACCACATGACTTAGGTTGAATTGGAAGAATGGATAAGCTTTGTATCAGTTGTCAAAATTTTTTTGGGAAATCATAAAGCTGAAGAATATTCCGAAATAGTAGTCAAAATGCTAAAGAATTTTCAAAAGTTAGGAGCTAATATGAGTATCAAATCCCATACAAAACGTTTTTCTTAGCTCTTATTGACATGTTTTTGTTCTTTATGATTAATTTTATTATTTATTGTATCACTTTGTTTATTTGAAATCATTTGATAATAAAGTTGGTAATAAATCTTTATTTACTAAGGTGATATGTTTAATTATGTTAATTGTCTTTATTAATTTCAGCCACCTGGCCGTCTTCAGAAGACCAGTCAGATATTATAAACGCACGTGAACATGTTAAATTTGATAATAATAAAATAAACTTTTTAAAAATATTCTTCTCTTTTTAAAATTTAATTTCCAATACAGGGTCATCCACGACGACCGTTGATTAGAACTTAACAGGGTTCTGGCCAAAACAAAAATTTGAAAATTCAGATTTAAGTATTATTAATTGCGTTCTCTTCGACTAAAATATTTTCAGATTTCTAGCACTTCCGGTTATACTGGAAGTCGCCACCTACTTTTTTTTTTTTCCTATATATTTTTACATATTTGGATTTGTCTGTTTTCAAGGTTTATGAATAACTTTACTATTTGCAATTTGATTTGGCCGTTCTCGAGTTATTCGAATTTTTCTAGAAAAATCTACTCCAGCAGACATTTTTTAAAAAGTTCAGAGAACACTCGATTTTTGGGTTATCAATTTAGGATTCAGAAGATGCGTAAGCAACATGATGAAGTATGTTTTGGTGCCGAGTACGGCTGTCTAGAACGTTTGGTCACTTTACTATGGCACGTTAACTTTTCGAAAATTGGAAATACCATAACTTCATTTTTTTAAATGGCACCCCCCATATTTTATTACTTAGTCCTTTTCGGTGTCTCATTTTACATCCTTTATATCTCATATGTCCTATACCTAAGATTTATAGTTTGGGAGATAATTAGGATTTTTTGAAAAATGCGCACATATATCGATATTTAACCTAGTGTGCCATGAATATCTAGTGTGACCTAGAGTATAACCATATGAAGTGTCCTTTTGAAAATTTACAGACTTCTGATGTTTGATGCCAGCTTTTTACTAAAATATTTTCAGGTTCCGGGTACTTGCGGTTACACCGGAAGAGGTGACAATTTTCATATTTCAAATGGAACAGCCTGTATTTCATTACATTTTTGACATTTTTGTTCAATTTTAGGGCACTTGTATGTTGCAGCCGACACGTACGCGCAATTATTTGGTTGCACTCTCCATAAATTATTATCACATTCAAATAATCCTCATTACTAAATTCCAAACGTGGCATTTCTTGAGAACAGATCACTACAAAAAGTAACCTAGTCATCACACCAACAGAAATAAACCATAGTTTTAGCAAATGTCAAACTGTTTACTCTTTCCTTACTGATCCTCTGATAATACATAACCGCAACAACATTCCCAACACAAAATTTTTTTTCCGGCGGTCAAAGTAGATGATTTATAAATTATAAAAAGTAACGTTGTAGTTGACATTTTTGATTGAAAAATGTTATAAAACTCAGGGTGTTCCATTTGAAATATGATAATTGTCACCTCTTCCGGTGTAACCACAAGTACCCGGAACCTGAAAATACTTTATTTAAAAAGTTGGCATCAAACATCACAAGTCTGCAAATTTTCAAACCTCCACTTCATTCGGTTATTCACTAGGTCGCACTAGGCACTTAATTTATGGCACACTAGGTTAATTATCGATATGATGTGTGTGCATTTTTCAAAAGAACTTAATTATCTCCCAAACTATAAATGTTAGGTATAGGACATATTTTATATAAAAGATGTAAAATGAGACACCGAAGACGACTATGTAATAAAATATGGGGGGTGCCATTTAAAGAAATGAAGTTATAGTACTTCAAAGTTTCGAAAAGGTAATGTGCCATAGTAAAGTGACCAAACGTTCTAGACAGCCATACTCGGCACCAAAACATATTCCATCATGTTGCTTAAGCATGTTCTGAATCCTAAATTGATATCCCAAAAATCGAGTGTTCTTTGATTTTTTGAACAAATGTTTGCTGGAGCAGATTTTTCTGGAAAAATTCGAATAACTCGAGAAAAGCCGAATCAAATTGCAAAACGTAAAGTTATTCATAAACCTTGAAAACAGACAAATCTAAATATGTAAAAATATACAGGGTGTTCTATTTAAAAAAATAAAGTAGATGGCGACTTCCGGTATAACCGGAAGTGTTAGATATCTGAAAATATTGTAGTCGAAGAGGACGCAATTGAACAAAAATATTATTATTTTCGTATTCAGGAGACCAAAATTACCTAAAATTGACTAATAAACTATGTATAGAAATCTTTACTTAATGCTTTGTGACACTTGAGCCACTATCTCGGCAGCAAAGCAGCCTCGGATTGTCATAATTACTATTGTACAGAAACCTTTACTTATTGCTTTGCAATATTTAAGCTACTGCCTCGGCAGCAATTATTATTTTGTGATATTTGAACTATTGCCTCGGTTTTTGTTGATCCGTTAATAATCTAAGTATAATTATAACCTTTCCTTATTACTTTGTAATATCTAAGCTACTGCCTCGGCAGCAAAGTTGCCTCGGATTACAATAATTCATTACTACTGTATAGAAACCTTTACTTAAGCGCGGGTCATACTAGGTTGCTTGCCAGCCACTACTAATCAGCAGCGGGCAGTAGGAGAAGCAAGCAGCAGCGGTCACACTGCCTGCTACTACTCACCATTTCGTTTAGTCGCTTTCAGCAACCATGTCCTCTGTGGATCCACGTAAACAATTAATTAAACAGTTGTTAAGGGTGGGTTAACAGAATAGACATCAAAAATAAATAAAGGACCACGTGATCCTACTTGAGGGGTTAGACTACTCTGCTCGCTGATATCAGCGGGTGTGAGTGAGTCACGTGACCTGCTAGTCGCTGCTGCCTGGCTACCAAAATAGAACATGTCCAATTTTATGGTCATACCAAGCTGATTGATGGCTGACACAACTTGCGGTTTCCAAGCAAGTGAAGTGTTTTGTGAAACTTGAGCCACTATCTCGGCAACAGAGCTGCCTCTGGATTTAATAATAGATTGCATACAACTTAAAATATTTGTGAATTTATAAGACCGATGCTTTATCTTAAGTAAACAAAGTGTTAAGAATAACCGATTGACGCTAGATAAAGAAACAATACCCCACATTATTACCACATAAATGAGGCACATTTAAGACTGGAATTATTTGGAGTGTAAATATTTTCTTTAAACAACTATAATCCAATTGTATTGTGTTCAACACAATAAATAATTTTTTAGTGT